AATTCTTTGCTACTACCAAAAAAAAGCTGCTATATAGGGCCTTTTCCTCTTGCTTTCGTCTCTTCAGGGTATAGACATAATAGCAGTATATCTGGCTCGAAAAATATATAGTTTAATAGCTTTTGGGACATTTTTACAAAATGTTTCTCGGAATAGTTAGGCTAGTTCACAGCTCCACTATTTATCAATTGGGGAATAACTTTTATTTTTATAAATTGGGTTCAGATAAGTTCCCCAATATATCTTAGAAACAAGACCATCATCTGAGAAACCTGCTGCAAAGATTTTTCTCCCTAGTTTCCTGCTTCTCGTTTTGGCCACACTGTTTTTTTTTTGTGCAAAACCTTTTTAATTTTATGTAATCAAAATTAACCATTTTAAGGTCTGTTCATGAATTCTCCTAGCCGAGATCTGAGAGGTAATTTCTTCCATGATCTACTAATTTTCTTTTATCAACCTTTATGTCTCAATGTACCCGTTTTAAGTTTATTTTGCCCAACAGTTTGAGCTGTTGGTCTATGCCTAGTTTCTGCCAGACTACTTTCCAGTTTTCTCAGCAGTTTTTGCCACATAGTTCTTGGCCCAGTAGGTAAGATCTTGGAATTTATTAAACACTAGGTTACTGTGCTTTTTTCCTTCTGTATATCGTGTACCTAATCTTTTCCACTGTTTAACCACTCTTTCTTACACAGTACCAAATTGTTTTGGTGATTACAGTTTTGTAGTGTAGTTTGAAATCTGGTACTACTCAGCCCCCCCCCCCTTTTTTTTAATTCCTTTGATATTTTTGAAGTTTTGTTCCTCCATATAATCTTGTAATAATTTTTTTCTAGCTCTTTATGGCACTGAATAAATTAATTTAGGTAGTAGTATTTTCATTTTACTAGCTTGGCCTACCCATAAACAATTATATCTCTTTTTGTTTTTGCAAAGTAAATTTTTGTAATTTTTTGGGGGGGGGTAATTGTGTTAATGTAGTTCCTGTGAATTTCTTGACAGGTAGTCTCCCAAGTGTTTTATACTTCCTTTAATTATTTTAAGTGGAATTTCTTTTTCTATCTCCTTCTGGTTTTGTTGGAATATACAGAAATGCTGATGGTCTATGTGGTTTTATTTTATGCCCTACAACTTTGCTGAAGTTTTGATTAATTTTTTAATTGACTCTCTAGGATTCTTTAAGTAAAACATACCCATAGACAGTGATAGTTTTGTTTCCTTACTGCCTGTGCTTATTCCTTCAGCACAGGATTGAATAGTAATGGTAATAATAGATATCCATGACCCAGAACTGGGTAATGAGTGACAGAGCTGCCATTTGGCACCCATTCCTGTTTCCAGTACTAGTTCAGGTGTCCCCTGGGATCTCTTTCTGCCTTGTTACTCACTATCCTGGTTCCCTATCTGTTCTTGGCACTGGAAAGCTCCCTGTCCACTGCAGGTTTATGTTCTGAGTTAAAGTTTAGAACTGAGTTGCAGCTCTGTTCCTGGTCTCAGAGCCACAGTGCTAATTTTCTGGAATTTGTTTTGTACTCCGTGATCAGTTTAAGGTCTCCTGCATGCCAAGTGGAGGCAGCTTTTCTCTATCCTGGATCTAGGTAATGTGTGATAGACTTAGCAGATGGCTAGGTTCCTGCCCTCAGCTCAGTCTGGTTTAAAGGTCTTCTGTGAACTTTTCCAGGTATTCTATCTGGCTCTCTTTTCTTCCCCGGATTCTGGAATGTTTCTAGTGTTTCTCCTTCTGTTACGTTTCTAGCGTCTCCACTGCTGTTAAATTCCTGGCCAGCCCAGTGTCCTCGGACTTCTGTCTATGTCTTCCTAAGCTGCATTGCACTGGAGAAATGACTGACTTTTTCTTGGTTTTGCTAATTAGAGTTTGGTTCTAGGTTGTTGTGGAGGTGTGTTGGGAGAGTTAGGCAAAAATGTTTCCATTCCCTCCACCATCTTGACTCCTGATAAAAAAGGAGGTTTTAAAAAACCCAACAACATGTACTTCCACATTATTAGTCACATCAAGTATTTAATTCTAGGGTCCCATATTTCTAAAGAACCTTCATTTCTGTAACCATTGGGGATCTAGATCTCTCCTGTCTCTATCAAAGACTGTGGCCTTCCATACTTTCTTTTCTAGTACTTCTTCTATGGGAATGTCTTTGACTATAGTACCTACTTAGCCAATCAATGTGAAAGAACAGTTTTTGATAGTGGAAGAAGTGGGGTAAAAACAATATATGTTAGTGAAAACAGGAGTGATTAAGAAGTTAAATCAAACTTTATCAAGGTTAGTTGAAGTTACAGAAGTGCCTGAATTACTTGACGGGCAATAATTTTAATATTGTTTCATTTTGTGACAGCAGTGATCATAGTTTTGTGATTTTACTGATACTGGGCTGTCAGTCTGTGACCAGATGAATAAGAAACTATTTGTTTATAGCCTTTGACTGTTTATTTATTTATGTATTGATACAACTGTTGACTCAATGGATAGAGCACTGGGTCTGAAGTCAGAAAGACCTGAGTTCAGGTGTGGCTTCAGACACTTCCTAGCATGACCCTAGGCAAGTCACTTAACTCTGCCTGACAGAAGGATCCACTGGAGAAGAAAATAGTAAACCACTCCAATATTCTTGCCAAGAAAACTCCATGGACAGTGTGGTCCACAGGATCACAAAGAATCAGACACGACTGAACAACAACGTTTATGTATTGAGAAATTGCTTTAGATCATGTGTTTATGTGTACACATGTGTATGTGTTTATGTATCTTTGATACCATTCCTTTATCACAGAAGTTTGGTACAAACATTTTTTCTATTCAGACCACTTATTCTAGGTAGATTAATTTGTTTTGCAGAAACCTTTCAGTTTTAAGTAATAAAAGTTAACTATTTTTTGTAATAATTAAGGTCACATCTATGTAGAATTTATTTTGAAATATGATATAAGGTGTTGATCTAAGACTGATTTTTGCTAGACTGCTCCAGTTTTCCCAGATGTGTGTTTTGTTTTTTTTAATCAAATAGGGAGTTCTTTCTCTAATTTATGTTTTCTGTTTTGTCTAACATTTTCATGAATTTCTGACAGGAATTCCTTTCTTGAGTTAAACTGATCTGACTTACTGTTTATTAAATTCAATTTCTGGTTTTCTTGCTTTAGTGCCTTGGCTTGTTCATGCTAGACTTTAATGCCTGACATGGCCTTTCCAAGGCAGATTATCGTACCAAATTTTCACCCTATTCAAATCATGGTGGCTCTTGTGTTTTAGTCCTACTCTCCCTTCTTTAAAAGTTCATTATTTGGCTCACCATTTTTCTCCTTTCTCCTTTCATCTTCTCTACCCCTTCCTTGTCCCTAACTTTAATCAGTGTTGATATTCCCTCAAATCTCTAACACCCGAATTCCTTAATCTCCTTAAATTCCCATGAGCATACTCCTTAATTTTAGCCACATACAGGAGGGGTCACATCTTGGATCTCCCCCTTACCCGTTTCCTTAATTAAAGACTTTTACATTCCTCTGATTTTCTGTCTTGTCTTTCTCTGCGTTTCAGTCCTTCTACACCTATGTTTTACCCTCATCTGACCTCCATTTACCCGTTTTTCACTTCACTTTTCCTCCCTTTCAAATCTTGATTTGAAATTAAATTAAAATTAGCCAAATTAGTCAAGAATTCCTCTCTTTCTCACCCTTTACACCACCCCTGTCCATATACTCTCAAATTCCTCTCTGCTTTGTCCTATTACTGCCTATCCCTGGTTCATACTTGGTGAGAATACTCTTAGCCCCTGTCTCTTCTTTCTCATGTATGGTGAATGGAGCTGGAGTAAGTCAAACAGTACATTTTGACTGAATATGTTATAAATTTGTTATTAAACTTTAATCTGTCCCTCATGGCATTAAGGCAGTCCTTTTATTCCTCCCTAATTGAATCCCCATCTCTCTCACCTCCCAGTATTTTAAACCTTCTGTTCTTTCCTTAGCCATCACAGATCTCCCTTCTGCCACTTCTCCCAATCCCTCAAGCAAGCTGAGAGCCTTGTTTCTGCCTTTACTGAGAAAATTTAGGCCACTCAATTTGACCTCCCTTGTCTTTTGAACCCAGATTCCTTGACCATCATTCCCTACCCCTCTTCTCTTTTTTCCCCTAGTCTGACAGTGAGGCAACTCTTCTTACCATCCCTATATATTTACTCAATTCCATCCCTTTTTATCTTTTCCAGTCATTTCCCTCTCTAATTATGACCTCTTCTCTATCTGTTCCCTATTGCCTTCAAATATCCCTTTCCCATTCTTTAAAAAGTCTTCGCTATAGTCTACTATTCTTCAAACTGTTGTCCTATCTTTGCTTCTTTTCTCAACCAAATTTCTAAAGCTGGCTGTCTGTACTTGTCTTTGCTTCCTCTCCTCTATTTCACTGCTCAGCTCTTTGCTATCTGACTTCTGACCTCAGCAACCAACAGAACTGCTTTCTCCAGTTAACAGCTTTCTATTTTTTTTTTCAATCACAACATTTTTATTGATTATCTTTTGTTTCTCTCCTCTCATATTCCCTGCCATATCTTCCGCTCTTTCCCCCATTTCTGGCTCTGACTATACCTGCAGCCTTTGCAACATTGTAGAACCTGTCAGAGATTCTACTTTGCAGGCCTAGCCTTTGAGAACCTGGGGTCCTGTGCACTTGATGAGTCATCAGAATAGAACTTCACTACAGTAAGGAAACAGGCTTGACTAATTTTTCTGAAAGGGGAATAACTAGTTCTAAAGTTACTTGCCTTTATTGTCATGTTCATTTTTTCCTCCAGCATTTGTTTAGCGTTAACTGCCTTCTTGGGACTGTGCTAGTTGGAGTAGATTTGTTTCAAATTATTTTATTTTGTCATTTTCTCTTGACTGTTTTGAGTATTTATTAGCTTTTTGTTCAATTAGAAATTTCTCTGATGTAAGGAAATGCTAAATTAGCTCATGCTTTATTAACATGTAGATCTTCTTTGTTTTTGTTAAAGTGCCAAGGATGATATTGATCTTGAAGCCTTGGCTGCAGAAATAGAGGGAGCTGGTGCTGCCAAGGAACAGGAACCTCAGAAGTCAAAGGGTAAAAAGAAAAAGGATAAGAAGAAACAAGATTTTGAGTAAGCATGTTATTTTTTTAAAATGTAGTTTCTGAGATATTTATATTTGATTCACTTATTAATCTATCTTTTGAAAATTTGTTTTGGTTTCTAGTGAGGATGATATCCTGAAAGAGCTTGAAGAGTTGTCTTTAGAAGCACAGGGAGTCAAGGTTGACCGTGAAACTACTGGAGTAAAGGTGAAAGACTTGTTTATTCTTCTTGCCTCCTCTAGTTGGCAAGTGATTACTTCATGCCTCTAAATAGCTACAAGCCACTGGATAAAATTTAGAATTATCATTTTAAGATAAATTTTACTAACTTGTGTTTATTTTTATTAAGTGACACGAACTGCTTTAAGCTAATTTATTTAAATTTCATGTAATTATTAAAATTTATGAAGATTCTCTTTCTTTAGTTCAGTAGTCTCAAATTCAGTAATTAAACTCACTGATTTTTAGTCCTAAGTTACATGTTCCCCTCCAGGTTCTTGAAATCAGGCATACTTTCTGATCACTCATTTATTTATTTAAATATTCAATCACCTAATCATTTATTTATTTATTTATTGGATAGGTTTCTTGGTGGATAGGCCTTTCAGTCCATGCCTTTTTACATATTTTGAAGAAACTTGTGTGTGACTTTTCATATGGGACAAATTTTATTTCATAGCTGTTCATCTGTCTATTTCACGATATCAGGTTTGAAAGGAATAAAGACTTTAAGTTATGGAGAGTACACAACTTTCCAAATCAGTCCATTTTACTTTGGGGCAAGTATGACTTAATATATACCTTACACCTCTTTGCAACTTATTCCTGAAGTTCACCAGTCCTTTTGTATAGGAATGATTAGTTTAATCTTTCTTCTATAGTGTAGCCCTTTAAACATTTGATGACAGTTTTAATGTCCCCAAATATCACCAGTTTCTTCAATTGCTCTTTTATGGCATATTTTGCAGTGTCCTCCTCTTCCTAGGTATACTCTTGTTTGTGCTCCAGTTCTTGAAATATCCTCCCAAAAAGTCCTTAGAAGTGAACATGATAATCTGTCTAGATTAGTCAGGAATTTTTAAACTTTTTGATATTATGTTGGGGAATTGAGTGATTGAGCCCAACTACTGTTAATAGATCAGAATGAAGAGAAGTGGGAGTTTTAGATCTTAGTACTATTCAACATTTTAATCAGTAATTCAGACGAAGGCAGATTTGGAAAACATCAATTTACAGATGACTCATCTGACAATAGCTAACATGTTAGATGACATTCACATAATCCAACCCATAATTGGACAGGAATCCCCTCTACAATATTGCCAGAAAATGGATAACCAGTGTCTGCACTACATAGATTCCTCTTAGGAAGTCTGGTGAAACCTTTGTAATCTTTCTTAGTATAAAGATTTTAGATGCATTGAATAAATTTACTGAATTGGCCTCACTTGGTTTCTCCCCAATTGGACCACTTATGAAATTAATTGTTTTGGGTTTTTGTTTATAAGTATTTTTTGGAGAAAAAAAACCCCAACTACTTGATAATGTGAAACACTAAATATTTATATTAAAATTTGGATTACCAAGGAAACTAATTACATTGGCACAGTTATCAGTGTTTTTTTAAAAACCGAGTTCACAGATGATAAACTAACTACTGATCTAGGTATAGTTTGGCCAGCACATTCTGTACATTTTGCATTTTATTAATGCAGTGAGGCTAAAACCTTACTAACAACTCAATAACTTTTTTTCCTATTAGGTTATTATTTCATATTAGTTTGTACTCCACTAAAATCTCCAGATCTTTTTCGACATTCATTTTTTTAAGATTTTGAGTTCGAAATTTTTCTCTCTTCTCTCTTCTCTCCCCAGGACAGCAAGTAATCTGGTACAGGTTATACATGTACAATCATGTTAAACATATTTCTATGTTAGTCATGATCCCCAGATCTTTTTCACATGAACTAGCCAAATCTCCCCCAAAATCTACTTGTTGTAAGTTGATTTCTTATACTCAAATTAGGATTTAAAGTCCATTGTTCTTGCATTTTGAGATTCTAATTCCAGCCTTTGTGTTAAGTTTTTAAGAAAAATTTATCAGGTACAACTTAACTTATCCCAAATATAAAGAAGACAAGACATTTTTCTTGAACATAAACCATGATTTAAAAAGGCAACCAACTGGGGAAATTCCTAGCAGAAGTGTGTTTAAAGGATAGGTCCAGACAATTCATGAGAAGATGAAAATAGTAAATCAACACTAAAAAAATTGAGGGTTTCACTAATGATTAATTAAAGATAAAGGATATATGATCATTGTTGCCCTGATACGTGAGAATAGAGAGGGAATAGACTTGTTCTGCTTACCATAAAAGGATAGCAGTAGGAGGCTAGAGACATTGTTTAGAGACTGATTTTGGCTTGATGTGAAGAAAAGCTTCTGAACATGACTTTCTATGGTTAGAATTGGGTGTCTTATGAATGCATGACTTCTCCAGTAATGGTGGTCATCGGTACAAAGGCTAGTTATCCATTTTCTGGCAATACTGTTGAGGGGATTCCTGTCCAATTATGGGTTGGATTATGTGGCTATCATCTAACATGTTAGCTATTGTCACATTTGAATCATCTGTAAATTGATGTTTTCCAAGTCTGCCTTTGTCTGAATTACTGATTAAAGTGTTGAATAACACTAAAATCTAAAACTCCCGCTTCCCCCCACTCTGATCTATTAATAGTAGTTGAGCTCAGTCACTCAATTCCCCATTTCTGCTAACTGTGCTGTGTTTCAGCTTTTACTTTCATCTTGTCCAGAAATATAGCTTGAGAAACTTTGTATGTTACTGAAATCCTAGAGAATGTATCTATAAAATTCCTTTCTTTTACCAATCAAATAAATTCTCGTCAAAAAAGGAAATATATTTGGTCTGGGTTTTGCATGACTTGCTCTTACTGAAGCCATTCTGGATCTTCATGATGACTCCATTCCTTTAATAATATATTCTAGAACTATTCAGAATCATGGCATTAGCTTATATTTTATAGAATTCAGACTTCTTTTTTTTTGTTTTTTTTGAAATTTGGACTATTTGCCCTTCAGTCTTTTTTTAATAATAGTTTAGTTTTTCCTCAAATGACATATAAAGACAATTTTTAACATTGATTTTTTAAACATTTTGAGTTCCAAAATTCTGTTACTCCCCCCTCCCTGAGATGGTAAGCAGTTTGATAAAGGTTTTACATGTGCAATTAAGCAAAACATTTCCATATTAGTCATGTTGTGAAAGAAGACACAGACTAGAAAAGAAAGTGAAAAATAGTATGCTTAAATCTGCATTCAGCCTCCCATTAGTTCTTTCTCTGGTTGTTGATAGCATTTTTCATTGCCAGACCTTTGAAATTGTCTTAGATGATTGTGTTGCTGAGAATAGCTAGGTCATTCACAGTTGATCGTCATACGGTATTGCTGTTACTGTGTACAGTGTTATTCCTGGTTCTGTTCACTTCACTTTGCGTCAGTTTGTGTCAATTCTGGTTTTTCTGAAATCATCTTACTTATCATTTCTTATAGCACAATAGTATTGCATTACAGTCATATACCAAAGATGATCAGCTATGAATGACTTGTCTTGAATCACTACATTGATCTGAAGGACTTGTGATGAAAAATGCTATCCATCCCTGGAGAAAGAACTGATGGTGTTTGAATACAGATTGAAGCACACTTTTTTTGCTTTCTTTATCTCTCTTGAGGGTTTTTTTTTGGTCTGTGTTTTCTTTTACAATAATTATGGAAATGTTTTGCATAACTACACATGTATAACCTATATCAATTTGCTTGCCTTCTCAGTGAGGGGGGGTGGGGAGGGAGGAAGGGGGAGAATTTGGAATGCAAAGTTTTAAAAACAGAGGTTAAAGTTTGTTTTTACATGTCACTGGGGAAAAATAAAATAATAAAAATAATCATATACCACAACTTGTTCTTCAGCCATTCTCCAATTGATGAGCATCCGCTTAATTTCCAATTCTTTGCCACCACAAAAAGAGCTACTGTAAATAGTTTTGCACAAATAGTTATCCCTTCCACATCATGAAAGTTAGCCCCAGGGATCTGGAAAATCCATGTAAAAATTTTTGGCCCTTCTCGCATAACCAGAGAAGAAGTTTGAATTTTTTCTTTTTCTTTTATGGGATGTATATGGTACCTTTTTGTAAAATTTGTGTTGATATTATACAATATTATACATATATTTTATGCATTTCTGAGTTTCTGAGCTTTTTCTGTTTTGTCTGCTGGTCTTCACGTGTGGTCTGTGGCTTCTTCAAAACTCCCTCAAAATTCCCATTTAATTTCTTATCCTGACTCACAATATATCAAAGCTGCAATGGGGAAAGTCGCAGTGTGGGATAACTTGGTTTCTTTTCCATTCATTCATTCCTTAATTCATCTCTTTGGGATACAGACCTAGTAGTGGTATTGCTGAGTATACATAGTTTTATAGCCTTTTGGGCATAGTTTTAAATTGCTCCCCAGAATAGTTGGATTAGTTTACAACTCTACCAACTGTGCATTATTGTCCCAATTTTCCCACATCCCCTCCAACATTAATCACTTTCCTTTTCTGTCGTGTTAGCAAACCTGATAAGTATGAGATGGTACCTCAGAGTTGTTTTAATTTGCATTTCTCTAATCAATAATGATTTAGAGCATTTTTTCATATGACTATGGAGAGCTTTGATTTCTTCATTTGACAACTACCTGTTTTTATCCTTTGACTATTTATCATTTGCAGAATGATTTGTATTCATATAAATTTGGCTCAGTTCTGTATATGAGAAGTGAAGGAGACCTTTTTCAGAGAAACTTGCTATAAAAAAATTGTTTGCTAGCTTTCTGTTTTCTTTCTAATCTTGGTTGCATTGGTTGTGCTTGTGCAAAACCTTTTTAATTTAATATAATCGGAATCATCCATTTTACATCTCATAATGCTCTCTATCTTTTGTTTGGTTATACATTTTTCCTTGATCCATAGCTCTGACAGGTAAACCCTTCCTTGCCCCAATTTTTTTCTCATTATCACCCTTTATGTCCATGTTATGTACCCATTTTGACCTTATCTTGTCGTACAGTATAAGATGCTGATCTATACCTAGTTTCTGCCAGTTGTTTTCCAGTTTTCCTAGCAGCTTTTGTCAAATAGTGAGTTCTTGTCCCAAAAGTTTGGATCTTTGGGTTTATCAAACAATAGATTATTATAGTCATTTACTACTGTGCATGGTGTACCTATTCTGTTCCAGTGCTTCACTACTCTATTTCTAAGTCAGTACCAGATTGTTTTGATGATTACTGTTTTATAATCCAGTGTGAGATCTAGTATGGCTAGGCTACCTTTCTTCACATTTATTTTCATTATTTCCCTTGATATTCTTGACCCTTCTTCAGTCTTGATGTGTTTTTCACACGCTACAAGATTTTACAAAGAACACTATTAGTCATTCAACAATCACTTCTACTAGCTAGCTCTTTCAGTAACCCTGAATATAGTTTTTCTGGGCCAGGTGATTTGAACTCATTATGGCTAATTAAGTTTTCTCTTGCTTTGTCTTTTCTTGGATTTCATTTTTCTTTAACACATTTTAGTTCTGTAGTAAAAAAGAAAAAAGTGATTTTTTTCTGAATTTTTCAAACAAAAAAGAGATGAAAATTTTCATATGTAGAATAGAAAAGAAAATTATATATAAAACTATGAATTTATTGTATTCAGCTTGCTTTTTAAAAAGTAAATTAAATTCATTATGTAACTTTCAGAGTTGCCCTTGCTTGTCTGTCTTTTTTTTTTTTTTATGTTCTCTCTGCATTTAAGCAAATCATTCAGTGACCCAGTTTTCTTTGGGTGGGGGGGGGTTGCGGTGCATTGTGCAACATTACAGTTAGCTTCCCTCTCCAAGTCCCGATGAAAAAAGTAAAAGCATATTCCTTGTAAGAAATGAACGTACTTAAATGAAACAGATCTACATGTTTGCCATGTCCAAAAATATATGTCTCATTCTTGTACCTTGAGTCCAAAGTTATTTTCTTTATGGCATCATAACTCTTTAAGTTGTTTTCCTGATTTTATTCACTTCACCTTGCATCAGACTATACAAGTCTTCTCAGGTCAAGTCAGTCAACATTTAAACACTTACTCAGTGCCAAGCACTCTGCAAAGCACTGAGGACACAAAGAAAGACGAAACAGGTGCTCTTTCTCAGAGATCTCACACTCTGAAACTGCTTCTGTTGTTATTTCTCAGATTCTCTTTGAGAGAAAAAACACAGAAGTAAAATGATCTTTGTGTACATACACTTTTCTTTTTTTTTTTTTAAAAAAAAAGTCTTTTCCCTTCAAACAAGGGTTCTTAACTTTTTTGGGTGTTGTGTACCCCTTTGGTAATCTGATGAAACCTATGGACTCTTGAAAATAATGTTTTTCAATGCGTAAAATACATAGGATTATAATGGAAACAAATTATGTTGAGATACCTTTAAAAATATTTTTATAAACCAAATTTACGGACTCCAGGTTAAGAACCCCCCCATCTTAAAAGTAAAGTGATATGTGGTTACTTGAAGAGCATAAAATTTTATTAAAACTTCTTGCTTATAAAATTGCTATGCTTGTTAGTTTTACAAATGTGAAAATTCAGAAAAATTCAGGTAGGGCTTTTCCTTTTTTGTACTGTGTTCAGTTTCTGGGGAGATACCAAAGAAAATCTTCAGGGCATATATGGTTCTATTTCTTTTGCTTTTTGTATTTGTTTTCTTGACCTTTATATTCCCCTTAGGGGAAGCAGATAAACCTGATCTTTTGATGGTGGTAGCTACCATCAAGCTCTTTTGAGAGTGTGTGTTGTTCCTGGAGTTGAGGCTGGCTATTTGGTGCTCATTTGAAGACATTTTTCACAGATCCCTCTCTCATTTACTTAATTTCAAAAAGAAATTTGGCATGAAAATTATTTCAGTATTACTAGTAGCCTTGCCTTGTAGTGTGTGTTTCAGGTTGTTGTTTTAAGGTAATCACTAATGTGCTAATGTACTAATTTCTAGGCAGCAGAAAACAATGAAGAAGAATTCAGTACTTCTAAGCAAGAAAGAAAAAAGAAAGGACAGAAGGGTAAAAAACAGAGTTTGGATGATGATAGTGAAGAAGCAGAGGAGAAAGAGTCAAAATCAAAAAAGACCTCCAGAACAAGAATAGAACCACTTTCTGGAAGTGAAGATGATAATTTTGATAAACTTTCTAAGAAGGGTAAAGGGAAAACTCAGAAATCAAATAAAAAAGCAGATGGTTCAGAAGAGGATGAAGAGAGCGTTAAAAAAGGTAAAGCCCGGACCAGAGCAGATTCATCAGGTGGGAGTGGTGATGACTCTGATGACTTCTCTCAGTCTAGAAAAGCACAGAAAAAGAATCAGAAAATCAAATCAGCTCTTCATGTTGAAAGTGGGAATGAAGATGATGACTCTTCTTTCAAAATAAAAACAGTGGCACAAAAGAAAGCAGAAAAAAAAGAACGAGAACGAAAAAAGAGAGATGAAGAAAAGGCAAAATTGAGAAAATTGAAAGAAAAAGAAGAGTCTGAAAGTGGTAAAAAAGAACACACAAAGCAGAAAGAAACTCAGAAGAAACCAGAGGAAGATGCTTTAAAATCCAGAGTGGGTCTTGATGCTGGAGCAGCTCCTACCTCAGAAGAAAAGGGAGATACTCTCACAACTACAGAAGGTTGGTGATTTTAGGAAAGAAAGAAAAGTACAGTTGGTATTTTGTGTGTACTCCATATAGATTTTGATTTTACCAGTGATTTACATACGCAGACAATTCTGTGGTTGGACCAGTTATTTGCAAATAGCCTTTAGAAAATTTTTTTTCTTTCGCAGGAAACCCTCATTCTTGGTTTTTTCTGCTGAGTATTTGGTTATGTATTGATTATTTTTTAAAGTCTAATCTTGAGTTTATAGATTTATCTAAAGTGATCACACTTAGAAATTTATTATTGGGAGCATAGGCTAAAAAATGCTGCCTCTTTTGGTAATTACATTTTATTTTTTTCAAATAACAAGCATTTTTTTTTCTTCCTTCCTAACTCCCCCCCCCGAAAAGAAAAATAAAAAGAAAACCCTTGTAACAAATGTTCATAGTGAACAGTTCCTTTATTGCCTGTGTCCAAAAATGTGAATCTTGTTATGTTATTTTAGTATGAATTATTCTCATAGTTCTGTTTGTTTCACTCTGCATCTATTCATATAGGTCTTCAGTTTCTCTGAAACTGTCTCTTTCATTATTTCTTCCAGCACAGTCATTATATCCATATGCCACAATTTGTTAAGGTGTTCCCCCTCTAGTTTCTAGTTCTTTGCCACTACAAAAGAGCTGCTGGATTTTCATATATCTGGGATCTTTTTTTTTCCCCCATCTCTTTAGGGTTGGGGCTGTATAGCTATAGGGTATAGGCTAGTAATATCATGGCAAGTTCACAGGAAAAGCACAGGTGAGTAATTTTTTGGGCATCATTCCATATTGCTTTATATAACTGCTGTAGCAATTCATAGCTCTACCACCAGTGCACTCACTGGTCTGTTTTCTTGTAATCCCTTCAATGTTTTTCATTTTCCTTTTTTTTTTTTTTCAGAATTTGTCTATATCAGAGGTGAGGTAGAACCTCAGAATTGTTTTAATTTGCATTCCTCTAATTATCAGGGATGTGGAACATTTTATCTGTCCATAGATAGCTTGTTTTTTTTTTTGTTTGTTTGTTTGAGAATTTCCTGTTCATATCTTTTGACCTTTTCTTTGGTAAGTGCTTTGAGATTTATGAAACTTTCCCCACAACAATCTGTAAGGTAGATATGGTGAGTTATTATTAGCATTTCTATTTTACAGATAAGGAATGGAGGCTCAGCGAGGTTAAGTAACTTCCCCAGACTTAAACAGCTGGAAAAGTCCCTTGAGCTTAAAAACTACAGGAGAACATTGGTTTCTGGATGCTCTTTCAGTTACTGGGTGCTGCCTCTTTTTCTAGAGAACCAACTCACAAGCACATGTTCTTCCCTCCCGGAAAACCCCAAGTTGTCTCCCCCCCGCCAATCTTTCTCTCTCTCTTTCAGTAATACTTTATGCTATCTTCTGATAGTGAGTTCTTGCAAATCAGAGTTTTAAAGTTTTTAAAATCTCAAAAAAATTTATGACCATTAAGTATAAGTTATCTTTATATTCTTAATGACATTAAAACCATAATATTGAGTATTACTGTAACTAAATTTGACTTAGTAACAGTTTATTTATGCCATTTTCAGTGCACAAAATATAACTTTTCATTCATTCATTCTAAGTCTCCATTAGGATTCTTTGTATATTGGTTCTTTTCTAATTAACTTTTCCTTTTGTATGATTGTTGGTGGTGTGTACTCTGTTCTTTTATTTTAGTTTTTTTACTTTGCCTTATTTCACAAAGAAGTTTGCTGATTTCTTTATATAACATATATTTCTCAGTCTTAATTTGATTATGTATCATTATATTAATGTACTACAATTTAATCATTCTATTTTTGGCCATTTAGGTTTCTCCTGAATATTTTTTGTTTGTTTTTTTTGGCATTTATAAAATAAGCTGCTTTGAAAAAATTTTGAACAGATAGCTTATTTAAAAATAAAATATTCAGAGCTTATTTTCAACAATAGAATTGTTGACTTTAAAGATATGATTATTTTTGTCACTTTGACTAGATAGTACATTAAATGTTGAAGGGAAAACAATGAATATGTGCTATAAATGTACATATTTGAAGACAACTAATTTTATTTTCACTAGTAAATAAGAAAGACCTTTGGAATTTATGTTTAGAGTTTCTGTTGGAATTAACAGCTTTTTTTCTCTTTTCTATTAGCTGATGATAATGAAAGTGACAAAAAGAAGAAAGATAAGAAAAAAAAGAAAGAAAAGGAGGAGAAAGAAAAGGAGAAAGAAAAGAAAAAAGGTCCTAGCAAAGCCACTGTTAAAGCTATGCAGGAAGCCCTTGCTAAACTTAAAGAAGAAGAAGAAAGACAGAAGAGAGAAGAGGAGGAACGCATCCGACGACTTGAAGAATTAGAAGCCAAGCGTAAGGAAGAGGTGTGTGTAGTCACTTAGGTCTTATTTCTTTAACTCTTAATGAAGTAATTAATTTTGATTTTGTATGATTTCTTAATACCTATTTTTCTTATTCAAAAAACATCTCTTAAATTTATACTATCTTTAAAAATTCTGTGACATAATTTTCATAGTTGACTTAACGACTTAAAAAAACTTCATGACTGATAAAATCAAGAAGTATGTTGTCTCCCCTCCTCTGTGGAAGTTAACATAAAAATTGCTTATATCAAAGCAAATGGTTGCCATTTGATAGTTTTTTCACATTTTAGAATCTTTGCTTATGAATATTTATGTATGCTCTTTAAGATAGTTTAATTCAGAATCCTTTCGCATGTTACTAGGTCATTCCTGTGAGAAAGAGCACACTGGATTTGCAGTCAGAAAATGGGTTTAACCATGACTTGTAGCAATCTAATACACTGGATAGAAAGCAGGACTTGTCTTTTGGAAAACCTAATTCCACCTTTCTACATCCTTAGCCATACACACACACGCACGCACGCACACACTCTGAATAACCTCTTTGTCTCTCTTGCCATCTATTTTATGGGACTAATGATGCCTTTAGGACTTAGCATGTTAGGACTCAGATGAGATGTTGTGTGAAAATTGATTTTCAGAATTTAAAGGCTCTGTATAAAGTGTTAGTCATAGAAATTGTTTAGTGCTGATGGTGATGCTGTGGAGTAACTTTGCCTCTTGGATCTTTAGTTCCTTCATCTGTAAAATGAGAGGGTTAGGTTAGCTCTACCATGCTGAGTTTAAACTCTTTCTGGTTTACACCAGTATGTTTTGATAATGTTTAAATATGATTTAATGGCAGATTCTTCTGTTTTCATAAGACATTTAGAACTGGAAAGAATCTTAGAGGTTATCTTATCCAACTCCCAACATTTCGCCAGTGAGAAAACAGGACCTCTTGTTGAGTGACCTGACTTAACTCTCATAATCAGTGCTAGGCAGGATGGAAGCATACAGTATTCTGATGTTAGACCAAGATTCTTTTATTATTTTTTTAATATCAATACTTCTCTTACATCATTTGTTATAGGAACGATTAGAGCAAGAAAAAAGAGAAAGAAGGAAGCAAAAAGAAAAAGAAAGAAAAGAACGCTTGAAAAAGGAAGGCAAACTTTTAACGAAATCTCAGAGAGAAGCCAGAGCTAGAGCTGAGGCTACTCTTAAACTTCTCCAAGCTCAGGGTAAGTAATAGCATATGCCCAGCTCAGCTGGTGAATTCTGCGAAGATGTTTAGATGTGTTTTGGGGTTTGAAAAAGATAATGTTCCTGAAAGCACTTTGAAAAATTCCAAACACTAAAAAAGTAATGGTGGTGGTAGTCATGTTATTCCTTAGAATGACACTTCTTTTCCAGACTACTATCCAAAAATTGATTAGAAGTCAAAAGTTAAAGTATTACGAAACTGAATTGATGATTGAAAGCAAAACAAAGTATTGTATTTCTCTTTGAGTTCCTATTCCCTTAATTTACCAAGTATTTCATTAAGAATATATCTTTGCACTATACTATTCTGTGCTGTGGAGGATATGGTGGAACAGAATACAGTTGCTATCTTGAAAGAGCTTACAGGGTTACTTTTGGAAGGTAAAATATACTAAAATGGCATGCTAGAGAATTTTTTTTTCAAATAAGCATTTATTAAATGCCTGTAGTGTTCAGACTATTGTTAATTTCCAGTTATGATATTGGATTTATCTGAGATGGCGTTTACCCTTTTGTAACCTAAATTGCACAGAATTGTATCGGTGTACTATAGAATTGCCAAACGGTATGCTGTGTGAGGCAGGAGAAAGGTCTTCTACCAGACATGTTAGGAAGCAGGCAAGGTTTCATCATGGAGTAAAGAATCTGTTTTACTTGGGTTTTAAAGAGTAAGTATGGCTTATGCTAGTGAGAATGGGGGTTGAGGTGAATTCCAGTTCAGTTGAAGAAACTGAAACCTAGAGAGGGAAAGTAGCTTCCTTACTGTCCCAGAGATTCTAAATAACCAAGCCTGCACTCACAACAGAGTGATCTCTCCACTGTAGTACCACAGGAATCTTTGTGCAGTAGATACAGTGTGTAAATAGAAGATTATTTGATTTATACTTAATATGCAAGTGCACCAGGAATTTAAAAAAGGATCATTGAAGGGAAAAGGGAGAAGGCTTCACAATTTGTTTTCGCGGTTACCTTTTTTAAAGTATTAAAGCCTTCAACCCTGATAGTCACAGTCTGACATTATAGATAGCAATTTACACCTTTAGTCTTCCTCTTCTCTGCAGAAAGAATATGATTCATATTTTATCCTTAGCAGCCAAGATAAGATAGCTTTTAGTGTTGTCGTTTATCTGACTTTATACATTGGCTTGATTTTCTTTGTTATGTATCATCAATTCAGTCAAATCTTCCTGTGTTTCTCCAATTTCCTCATGTTATTACTTCTTTAGAGCAAATGATAGTCCATTAAATTAATATAATGTCATTTATTCAGCCTTTCCCCAAATAGTAGTCACTGACTTTGTTTCCATCTCAATGTGAGAGAATTATTTAAAGCTCTGACTCCTTACTAATCTTCCATACTTCAAAGAAAGTAACTTGAATTATTTGACAGCTTTTTTTCATGCTTTCCTGTTTATAGGTCATTTTTGACACTGGTAATGTTTACTGTCTCTAATTTAACTAGAACCATCAGTTTGCTTTCTTTAAGTGAGAAGTGCATTTAAAATTTGCAAACAAAATCCTTGTTACTGAAAACTATGAACATATAAAAATCTTTTGGCTTATTTAATACCATTTGTCATTCAAAATTTTCATTATAATCTTAACTATTTTACTCTTGCTGTCCTAGTCACTGGACAGAAACCTGTTGATAATGATAGAGGACAGGGGAAGTTCAGTAGTTTGTTTCTGTGATTTTTTAAAAAAAATTATTTTTTTCTTTCATTACATTCAAATACACTAATATTTCATGCCATATCTGTTTTTCTCTCAAAGGCAATAGCTTGAATAGAAATTAATTAACTAATGTGAATTATCTAGATTATGGTACAGCTTATTTTTTGGTACCATATATAATTAGGAGTTCTTTTTTGTAGGCTAGCCTGTCAGCATCATTACAAATTTCAGTCTGTAGATTCGGATTTGTGTTAAGCCAGTGACTTGACATTTAAGCCTTGAGTTAATCATTTTTATCTGCTTTATTTCTGTAGCTTAGATGTGATCATACTAGGATTGCTATGACAAACAAATTACCTTGCCTCCAGACCTAGGCCTGCCTTCAGACATATGGTGGCTATTTGCCCACATCAGTATCAGAAAACACAAAAGTGGGCAGAGTTAGTTATCTTTTCAAGAATTGGGCAGCGACGGGGCAAGGAGCCTTGCAGCAGCAGTGACCTTGATGAAGGCATGCATCACTTTCGCAACTACATGCTGACCAAGGAAGAATCATAGGATTCTTATGCTTGTTTTACCTCAGCTTGTTTTCCAGTGTGTTGTGTAACAATTTTGTGAAACTAAACAGGGTCTAGACCAAGTTAATAGAGTTCTATATTGCAAACGATTTTTTAGATTTTAGAAACTAGACAATGTGTAAACTTTCACTTTGCTACTTATCAACTTGATATTGTTTAAATTGACTCTAGCTGGAAGAGACCTTTGAGGCCCATCTAGCCCAAATTCTTCTTTTTACAAATGAGGAAACTAAGACCTAGAGAGTTTAAGTTACTAACCCAGGTCATAGTGACTCTAAATCCAGTGTTGATTTCGATTGTGCCCTGCTGTCTCTCATTCCAGAAGAGACTTATCACAACAAAGTGCTTTTAAAAATTACAGAATTTTTAAAATTGTGAGTGTTCATGTGATAGCATAATAGTGGAATTATAGAATTTTGTTGTGGTTTGTTTGATTTTAGGGTTAAAATATTAGGGCCGAGGAGACTGTTGTGGATGTTAGCAAAGGATGAGATGGTAAATGTGGAAGCAGCGATGTGGTGACTGGGTAACTGTAGGCCACAGGACAGAGTTAGCCATATTTCTTTCAAAACCCTATGAACTATTCTGGACTTTAAGGAGAGTGGGCATACTGATCCATCCTGCAAAGCAGAGGAGAAATGAAAAAAAAATTAGTTATTAATTAATAGACATTACTGGGCTTGCCCTTTTTTCTACTTGGTATCTTGTATAGTTGAGTCTTTCTCAGCTCTTTATTTTCTCTGCCACAATCCCTGTGTTGCTTTTCACTTTTAATGGGTGCAAGTGCTTCAGGATGAGAAAAATTGTGAAATTGATTTTAGTCCAAAGTGAGAAGTATATGTAATTTCTTTCCTACTGATTTTCTTCTTCAGAAAATACAAGTATTCTAGACTTTCTTATTTTGAGTGGTTTAAAATGAAGAGGTAAGATGTTGGCTTGCCATTTTTATTGTAGCCCAGGAGTGAGTCCTACTGGATTGGAGAGGCAGTAAATAGTCTAGGGCGCAGAACTTGTTCTGTAAAGTTTGAGTTCAGTCAAAGGGCTGCACTTGAGGACCTCTCCAGAGGGCCACTTGTTGCCTCCAGGCAGCAGGTTCCCTACCCCTGGTAGAGTGCTGATTCTGAGTCAGGAAATCTTGAGTTCAAGTTCCACGTTTGACACTAGCTTGGTGACCAAAGGCCTATCTCTTAGCTTCTTTGAATCTCCTTTCCCTGAACTCTAAATTAGTTTAAAAAATAAAATTTAAAAAAGTAATCTGTACATTTAAATGTACTATATAAAAACATTTATCAATTTGATTGTAAAATGTAGCAGTTGATGTAGTAGCATCTGAGGTCATTTCTACATTTAGAGTGATGATCCTAATAAACTGGTCATCAGATTTTTTGTTTATTATATAATATTCTGCTTTCCGTTCTGGATTATAAAATTAATAGAAATTTAATTGCTTTTATATTATGGTGATAAAAGTCTTTATGATTTGTGTGGAAGATGATTTGATTAATTTGGGTTTGTTTGTGGATGGGAAATACGTACCTTTGATTTCATTGGTGTAAAGAACTCTCAGTGTGGGAAAAAAAGGCTTTCCCTGATACGGTAGACCACATAATAATAATAACCTATAATCTTAGAGAATTGCCTAAGGCACTGAGAGGGTAAGTGATTTGCCTCAGGTCACATATCTAATATGCCTTTGATACAACTGGGTGTAAGTGTCCCCTTCTCTAAGGCCAGTCTCCTACTCCATTTAGAATATTAACTTTTAAAATTATTTTGGTAAGCAAAGTAGTTTTTGTCCTTCATATTTATAGGGATTTTTAAAAAATTTAATTTAATAATTTTTATTGTTTGCTGGAGATCATACTAAGCAGATAAATAAAATGGATGATACAGAATCAGATAAAATTTGTCTAGACATTGATGTGCCCCTGTTGATGAACTTTATCATTGGTAGTATTTTACCTTGTATCTCCAAGATTTACTCTACTCCCCATGAATGCCCACAGATTTGTCAAGTTGTGTACTCACCAGATAGAAATCATTTGGTATATAGCAACACATCCCACCATCTTTCTGTTTGTTATAATGAGCTTTGAACTCTGAACTCAGGTTTGTTTCAATGTAGCATCCAGACCCCCTAACTGCATCACCGGTGACACATCATCCCTGAAAGCAGTTAAATAAAGCATTGTAAAGTTGTGATAACAAGTGATGGTCATGGAGCTTTACCTATTAGGAGCTATTTTTTGTTAAAAAGAAAGGGTGGGTATATACTTCAGGTTAGCACCAATATTACTCCATATCTGATCTGAACTTTGTTTAGGTTGAAAGTTGTCTTAATTTAGATAGTATTAGTGATTATCTATAAATGCTGGTTGGACTAAAGTGACTTGATCAGTTATAGCCTGACCAGCAGTGAGTCATTTTCCTCCCAAAGTCCTCATGGACTTTTAATTTTTTCCATCTTTCACCATTTTTGTCAGTTTTGATTTGCATTTTTCTGATTAAGTACTTTGAACCTTTTAAGATGATGTTGAATAAATTTAATGTTATACTAATTATTTTCCTAATATTCAACCATTCCTTGCATAGAAATTCAACTTTATTTTAATGAATTACTCTTTGTATCTATTGCTGTAATCTCTTTGCCAGGATTTTATTTAATATTTATGCTTCAGTGGTCATTGGTTCTCTACAAACCTGCCTTTTCCACACTTATTGCACAT